GCGCGGCGTTCGGTGGGGGCAGGGGGGGGGGGGGGGGGGGGGTTCACCCAACGGGAGTGGATGTTATTGGACCTAATGGATCCAAGATGACACAGAGGGAAGTCACACACATGTGAACACAAGCTTCTAAATACAAAGTGGAGCCCTTTGGCTATTAATAATGAAAACCGACTAAAAGCAACACACGCCGTCTGGACTGTGTCTTTGCGGTGTTTGTGTTGCTGTCGGATGTTTTATCACCGATGGGAGAAGGATGTTACTCAGGCAGGAGCAATGGCTGTAAGAGCTCCAGATGATAAGATCCATCTAACTTATACAGTGATTAAAGCTGCATCCTTTTTCGGCACACAGACGGGTTTGTCTGTCGCTCCCAATATAAACAGATGTTTGTTTTCGTGTTACGTTTATTAGCCGGAGGAAACTTCTTCAGTTCATATTTCTACATCTCGGCATGTCAGTCCTGCCCTCCTCCTCTAATAATACAGCAGTGTGTGCAATGCCCTCCAGCTTTACCAACGTTTGTACAGCAGGAACAACGATGGAAACATTAAGATGTTTGTTTGCTTCTAAAGGTTCAAGGCTTATATTTTAAGTGACAATCTGCACATTTACATAGTTTTATAATTTTATAGTTTTTAATATGAAAGCTACAGCCAGCAGCTGGTTAACTTAGCTTAGCATTAAGACAGGAAACAGCAGTGACTGCTCCAGGGAAAACTGCTGTTTTACACTTCAGTTTTTGAACGAATCAAACAAACAAAACGTAACGTGTTGATTTGTGCTTTAGTGGTGGCGGTACACAGATTTTGTTAGCTTTTGAAAAGAGCTAGGCTAGCTGTTTCCCCCTGTTTCCAGCTTTTATGCTAAGCTAAGCTAACCGGCTGCTGGCCCCAGCTACATATTGAATGGATTTATCTGAGAGTGGTATCAATCTTATCGCCTAAATCTTGGTAAGAAAGCATAAAAGTGTATTTACCAAAATGTTAAACTATTCCTTGAACTTTAATTTATTAAACTAACTTTTCCTCGATTCACAGAATCTAGTTTGACAGTTTTGTGCTTCGGCTCCTTTTCCTCCCTTTTGCACGGGAAGCTTTACATGCAACAACTGTCGTCTTAAAAATGAATAGACGCACATTAGAAACGCCTTTACACACAAACAGTAATTATACTTGCATAGCACAAGCTGACCTTTTGATAAACCTCATCATTTGTTCTGTCAAACGACTGACAAGAGTTCCCCCTCGGGGATCAACAGAGCATCACCTGTGTCTGATTCATCTCATTACTTGTGTTGCTATGTTCTCAGTAAAAGTTCCAAACTTTCAGACAGAATGTATCCCCATGTGAACTCTGATGATGAATGAGATGATAACACCCTTTTTGTGGCAAATGACTTGATATATGGGAATTAAAATAGCACCTCCTGCAACCAACATATTTAGTCTCAATGGTCCTGTTTTCCTCCGTGCATTAAAGGACGACAATTAATAGATGGACAACTTCCTTGGATAACATTATTATTCGATTTTCTTGCTCCGCTGCTAGAATTAAGAAGTTTAACGTTATTTATGTGGCGTGTATAGAGAATCTAGCTTATAAGTGAATGAAAGTTTATCCTGCTTGAAACTAAGAACCAAAACAAGAGATAAGCTCAAACATCGACCTAAACTACTTTTTCCACCTGTGAACTTTAGGGCTGCTAACCGCTATGATCGAGAACACGCCTCACCTCACCGACCTGCGAGTGCAAAAGTAAAACTGAAAAGAGACAAATAAGCACCGTACCACTTAAACGTGTCCGTTAAAGAAGGTAATCCGGCGGCGGCTGTGTCATTTAGGGCTAGCACAGGGCCTGTACTGGGGTAGGTGGTATTACCTGAGCTATGTCATTTAGCTACAGGTACCTGGGTGTAATGTGGCAGGCCGTCACTATGTTATTTACCTGGACTGGCGTACAGTGTGTGCAGGCAGTAAGTGCAGGCTTCTGTGTCAGACAGTAATTGTTGTTTGGATACGGGCTGAAAGAGACCGAGCTACAGTGTGAAGCTTACAGCTAGTCTGCTTTTAGCCAGATGTGAACACACACGCACGCACACACAGTGTTCATATTAATCAATTTTTTACTATATTTACGTTTCTCTTAGAATCTTAGTTAAACCACATTTATTTGGTTTGACTCATGGACACACTGATTTTCTTGCGTTATTTGCTACATTAATACACATGTGTGTCAATAAATAATATTCCACCACATCAGAGACCAAACTTATCCCCTTTAGTACTGTTTTGTATAGAAATTTGAACATAAAATGCTCCAGAATGAGTAAAATTCTACATTAATATACTGTAGGGTTTCTGTATTGTTTCTGTTGGTCAGATGTTTCCAAAAGAAGAAATCATAAGATCAAGAGAAGCCCTTCCAGCTAAATATTTACAGCCCCCCCCCCCCCCCTCTGACCTGATGATGCTGCAGCACTTAAAGAGGCTTGTTAATGTACAGGAATGTACATGAAGCCAGCCGGTTTATATTGACGTGTAAAACACCCCAAAAACCTTCCTCTCAACTCATAAATCAGAGAGTAGAGCTGCTCTGTTTGTGGCTACTAAAATTTAAACAGCTGTCTCTATCTCTATACTGAAATAAGTGTGTTTGTTAAGTTTAAATGATGCTATGCATCTATGAGTCAGTCACCACACAGGTGTTTATTTCATGGTGACAAGAAGATGAGTTCCTCGCCTTAAGACACAGTTTTGTTTTCGTCTAACTCCTCGCCTAGAGAAATCACGATATTGTTTGTAAGGATGTTGTAACATGTACAACACGGACTAACAGAGCTGACTTTGATAGGTGCTGATAATGTCTGTGGCTGTTGATGAAAAGAGAAAACAAATGTAAACCAGAGCCCCGGGCCGTTGTTTCTAACTGAAGTGAAGGCAATTTACTTGTTTTTCCCGCAATTTAATTTGCCAAAACAGTTCACCTCAACTGGATGTATGCACTGTAACAAGTAAACAGCAAACCACTAACCTCGACCATAAATATAGTGCAATTAATCTGAGCTAAAACATCTGTACCGGGCAAACAGATAAGCTGCTGTGATGGATGATTGATAGTCTTTCTCTCACACACTCCCATGATAGGGAGTTATAGACGACTGGGGGAAATAACAACTTACAATTTAAAGTTGTTATAGTTTTTAGGAGGGGATGGGATTAACAGAAACATTATCACTTAAAATCCCCAAAACAGCTTCTTTTTAAATATAATTAGATGGAAAAAAGCACTTCTTGCAACTTCATACAAGCTAACATTTACATGATGTCTTAACTATTAAAGGAAATGTGTAGTTTTATAATGCGACGTAATATCACAGTGTAAACTAACACGTGATGGCCAACCAGGCTGAGAGCTGCCCTGATTAAAAGGAGGTAAAAGCAACATGTGGAACATGTGTCTGTGTGGAACAGGAACTAAAATAGTGTTTTTTTTTAGTGGAGACGTAGAGATGGATTTCTATGTACAAGTTGGCGCTATCATGCAGATGAGACGGGACTCACCCGGCTGCCTTTCTCTGGGTTGCACCTGCATCCTTCGCCACAGTTTCTGCCTGCACACGGCTCGTCAGACGTACCCTGCAGAAAAAGAACAAAAAGAAACCAAAATTACAACCTGTGCTTTGGAAATATATGCGGAGAAATCTTGTTCAAGACCAGACAATTTGGAGTTTGAATGTCGAACTTCCTCTTCGTTTGAGCGACACACTTCACCGCCTAAATGCATCATCAGAATGTAACTGTAAGGATTTGTTCAAATCCCTTCATGACTAAAAGAAACAGATCAAACAAAGAGACGGAAAAGAGAGGCAGAGGAGCACGAAGAGAGTCTGGCAAAAACTCCATGAGTCATGTGGATGGAGGAGTAGTTGCATCAGTGAGAAGTTGGCAGGGATTTAAACCGGATTTAGGAGATCCAGTCAGTGCTGATTTAAAAAGTGCATAATTCTCTAAAGGGCAGATCTAATTATGTATCAAACATAAGATGTACTACCAGGTTCCCTTTTGTGTTTACTGTTTATTTGTCTCCCTGTACGCTTTTCTTTTCTGGGTTTTCTAACTCGGTTCGTTCCCTCCGGCTCTTTTCTTTGATTGGTAGACACACAAACCAGCTTTAACTCCCAAAGTTCTTGTTGTTTCAGGTGCATTTTCACTCTAGCGATCTCCATTTCTGCAGGTTCGCGTCCTCATACATCCCATATCATGCACAGTAAACAAACGTCAGCATCACCACACGCCATTTGTAGCTCATAAATTTATAAGCTCATAAAGTGAACTACAGATTAACCCTTCTGTGTTCAGGGGTGGCATTCCTGAGATAACTACCAAACATCACGCAGTGCTCTTAGACCATGTACGAGCCTCTTAAAACCTGACGCCATCTTTTCACTTGATGGACCACATGGCGAGCAGAGATAAAGGTGTGTTTTCTTCCTACATATCTGTGTGATTGTCGTGGTAAATCCATGTAAAATACCTCATTAATTACACATTTAATTACCTCCTTGTGAATATAGGAGCAAATGTCTCATAAGGGTCCATAGTTTGGGGGTCTATTTGCGGGTCAAACTAAGAGGTCATGGCTGGCATTTCAATGTGATTAGTGGATGAAAGGGTGCTGGCGGGGTGGACAGACGTGGAGGAGAGTAGGGGCGGGAGGAAGAGGGGTAAAAGGGTGTTGACTGGGGTGTGATGGAGGTTCAGAGGACAGGGGTGGATGAGGAGAAAGTGCAGGGTGTATTAGTTCATATGGGTGTATTAGTTCTGTGAGTGTTCATAATCACAATAATCGAGGTCAAGGGCCCTCCGGGACCCCCGTAAGTAGCCATCAGATGGTCTAGTCTGGGTCTCGGTCTGACATAATAAGAGCCTGGGAAAGAGTGGTGGGAAGGCGTCTGAGAAACGTTCAGTTAAAGAGTGTCAATAAGATGATGATTGACAGAACAACCCTGCACAGTGTTGATTTATTACATCTATATGTGGTGAATTGATATGCTATTGAGAAATGTTGAGGTACTACTACTTTTAAGCTAAGCTACTGCGACAACATTCAATACAATTCAATAAAAACATTTCTGTACAGCTCAATATTACAAATCACAAACTTTATAAGCTTTATAATCTGTACAACATATGACATCCACGCTCCTTGGACCGTCGTATCGGAAAAGGAAAAACTCCCCAATGTAAAACACGGGGTGAACGTGGTGGGGAAGGAAGAGAAACGGAGGAAAACACACAACAAGGAGAACGCGAGCTTGGCACAAAGTATGAGAGAGAGAAGGAGGGGAAAGGTCAGCAGTGCTGCTCCTGCTTTCTTCCCTCTGATCTCCTCAACTCCTCTAATCACAATGACAGAAGGAGGGCAAGAGAGGGAGAAAGTGAGCAGGAAAACAGTGAAATTTGGGCTAGTAGAGGGAGCAAGAAAAGAGAGCGGGTAAAAGAAATGGAGGGAAGCCAAAAAAGAGAGCAGCTCAAAGGAAACCTATGCCAAAGAGGCTAAAGAAGAGGAAGCTAAAAATAGATGCAAAACAAGCAATTTGGAGCATTAAAGGTACTCAAAATTAAATCCATAAAAGAACAACAAAGTAAAAGGATCAAAGAGGATGAAAACTTTATTCAGTTTAAGCAAAAACATGGTTTAAAAATGTGGAAAAAGAAGCAGAGGATGACAAAAGTGTCGCACTCTCCTAGCTCCCATCTCTATATCATGTTGCTCTTATTATTCCGCTCTATTATCCTCCTTTTGTTAAGGCATGAATACCTCCTCAGGTATTACCCAATCAGAGCCGGCTGCCTCCGATTGTTATTGGCCCAGCGGAGGCATTGTCCTGGGATATAATCCAGCCTCTACCTGAGCAGGGCGGAGATGCGCTCCCCTGTCCACACCCAGATTTTAAAAAAGTGAAGGATGATATGGGCAAACAGCTGCTAAGCCAGCGCCCGAGGGGGAGAGCGGAGGATGTGTGATGTGGTGTCAAATACAGACGAGGAAAACGCGCGCACATGCACACAATGAAGAATTATTGTGGAGATAAATGAACTCACAGGTGATGTGGGTGAATTTGGACGTCTAGATGCAGGTAATGCTGCACAAGAACACACAATCTACCCCAGTTATTTTTCTAAGATTAACACCTGAAGTGTAACAACCTGCAAGCAAAACTGAAAAAGTGTCCTCACTTCCCTTAAACTGGTCCTGGTCCTCGCATAGCTAGAAATACAAGGGCACGCACACACACAGCCTAGTTCAATACCGATGCTCGGTCGGCGTTAGATTTATTTATTTGTCACATTACTTCCGTACTTAAGTAACACAACTTCTGTAGTTATTTTAAACCTAACCAAGTAGTTTGTTGCCTAAACCTAACTAAGTTGCTTCCTGTGAAGACGTAAGTTTAATTTGAAAAGACTTGATGCATTTAACGAGTGGAAATCGACACGTGTTGCTGGACTGTCGTAGGAAAACGCATTAAAAATGAGAAGTAACTTTTTCGTATGATATTATACGAACTGCTGAATGAGGATAGGTTGTTACGTTACAAGTGTACTTATTTAAAGTCAAACCATAATGCTTTTTTTTAACGCTAACTAGCTCGTTTTGTTGCCTTGACCTAACCGCCGCTGTTTCCCAACGTACTTAAAAGATAGTACGCAAAAAGGCTGTCAAGGGGCTTCTGTCCAAGCAACAAAAAATGACGAGTAGTGAAGAGATCAGGGCTACATTCTCCCACAGAGAACAAAGAGGACAATGATCTGAAGCCCTGGTTTCACAATATGAAAGCTACTTGATCATCTAATCATCTTACACCCTCTGAAACACAACCTGTGAGTGTACGTGTGTTTCGTAATTTGGGTGAAAAGACCCTTTATGCTACAAGGTTAGTGCCAGCGAGGTTAAGTTAGAGGAATGTAAATCTGCTACAGGGTTAGACTTGTACCAGATAAGGTTACAGCACTCCAGACAAAAGCAGCGCGCTCACAATTTGCATACGTTCACTGACATAACGTGATGGAACAGGCACATTCCCGATTCAACGGCGTGAATTCAACAGTTTTCTTCCACACTGTCATCCTGGCATTACGCAGCTATGTGCCTCTAAGCTTCGGCTAATGTTCCCCAATCAATCTCTGCTTGTTTGCTCATACTTCACTGTCCAAACACTTTCATGTACGAGCATCTAACCGAGACTTCTTTTCAAACCGCCATTGAAACACCCGAGAGTGGCAGCTCGTGCGTCGGCTGATGTCTGGACTTGCCTCGTTCGTGCCTATAGGGTCGGCAGATGTTATCCTCGTGAAGGGTTGAGTCTATAGGGTTACACACAAACGGAACTGCACGGCTGAGACAACAACAGCGTGATGTGACAGGACAGCCAGTTTGCTTTAAATTCAAAACAAAACAATAAGTGAGATAAAGCTTTGTTTGCTTCGTATGTTATAGAATTACACCATGATGGTGGTGGTTTAAGGGTCAGAGAGGCACGGCTGAAGGAATGTGTGATCCTGAAGATACCTGGCATTACTGTATGTATAAGCCGATTGTAGTGCTAATATGTAGTTAAAGAAATAATGTGTGGCATTTTGATGTAAGATAATGTGCATTCGGCCTTTTTTCTATCCATAAAACACAACGAAACGTTTTTTATTTGCTGTTTTAACTCACTTGTATCAATTAGGTTTTGGGAAATATATTTTTTATGCTTGTTTCAGGTATTAAACCAGAGGAACAACTAAAATAATAGACAAATTAGACTAGTGACAGATTAAAAACAACACCTGAAGACCTTTCCCCAGGGACCAGGAACCTTATGAGGAACGTTTTGACCGCGGGGACCAGGAACTTTCCTGGTGGAGTTTGCAGGACTGACGGTCATTCATTGGTCAAACACACACAGCGACGCTGCTTCAACGCGTGTACCGGGGGAGAGTTTAGCAAAGCATCAAAAGTAAAGTTAGTCCTGCGAATGTTAGAAAAATACGGCAGTTACTTCCTAAAGCACAAAGAAGCACCCATCAAACACTCAACAGATGATCTACTGTGGAGAGAAACACCCATAGGTTCATTTTCCTCCTCCACATTTCATTCATCAGTAAATACTATGCAGCAATAAATGTAGTCGCAGGCACACATAGTTAGCTTAGCATAGCGTACAGACTGGAAACAGCTAGCCCCAAACTATCACACAATCCCTTTAATCATTTTGTCTATATAACCGTGAAAAATCCCGCCACAAATCATTTGTTTGGTTCAAATAACAGCCAGAGATATTAAGTTTATAGCTACAAATCCTCACATTTAAGAAGCTGGAAGCAGATAATCAACATTTTGAAAGCAGTTGCCAATTGAATATGGTTAAATAACTGATGAATTATTCGACTATTCATTTCAGTTTTAATCTGCTCTTTGAGACACAATGTTGTGTTTGACTTAACTGAGACAGAGAGAAGAAAAAACATGGAGAAGGTTTAAGAGAATAAAGATAAAACAATCTCTTTCCACAAAAAAAGAGGAAAAGGTGAGGTTGAAACTGTTTGACTGACAAGTGAACTCTGGGAATTGAAGTGCAGAACCAAGC